CGGTTAACAAATCATTAATGGGATGGCATTCAAGGGGCTGCTGGCTAACCCTACCAGTTGGTTGTATATGAAGAAGACATGCACACTTTCATTTGTCTGGTTAGATTTTTTTAGCACGTTGACCAAAAATTTAAAAAAAAAGTACTCCATATTTAAGTATAATTTATGTCTCATTCATTCATTTTTCAATATATATATAGAACAAAGAGAGCATTCAAATATTGTGTACTCGCATTTCACATGAATATGGCATTTTAACCTCTAAACGTATAGTATTTCATCGGCCCTATACGGAAATTAAAGTCTTGTTTCCATAAAATAATGTACTTTGATGCAACTTCTTGAAAAAGAAACATACCCAAATAAAATATTAGTCATTTTTGTTTTTAAAAAAACTAAGAGAAACCAAGTTGGATGACTTATAAAAATTGTTCCTTAACAAAATTACTACTCGTAGTATTACCAGTGGGGAAAATCCAAGAAGCCAAGTGAAGCTCCACCTCTTCCCAGTTATGGACTCTGGTGATTAGTGGGTGGCCATTTACAAACTCTGTCTTGGACCATGGATAAGAATTTTCATAATCAAACAAAAGAACCTTGATTCCAGCTTCAGCGCATTCAATGGCATATCCCGGGTTATCATCAATCAAAACTTTTGCTCCCAATGATCTGCAGACCGAAACCAAATGAATTTGATAGGACAATATTAGGCAACATTGTAAGCAATTCTTCCTTGGTGGTACTGTGTTTACTTTGTATGTGCTTCTGTGTTTGAGCCAAAGGGGTTTCCTAGAAACAGTTTCTGTACTTCTGAATAGGGGTAAGGTCTGCGTACACACATTGCTTTTTGTGAGATTTTACTGGATTTGAAGTTGTGAATGTTTCTTCCTTTGACAAGCAATTTTGAACAAACAACCAAGCTCTTGAGTTTCAGGGATCAGGGTTATATGGATCAGAAGATGTTATTTTTTTGAGGTATTAAGACGGTATTAAGACAACTGGCTCTACCGTACAATATCAAGCTCATAGTAGTAGATAATCCCTTACATGTTAAGCTAATACTCCCTCCATCCGCCATAGATCTTCCCAAATGCCCTTTTTGTTTGTCCGAGAAATATCTTCTCATTACCTTTTTTAACATTTCAAATACCACAACAACCCCCACTTTATTTATGACATCTCACCCACCTCATTAAATATACTTCACCAAATTTCATTGAGGGGATACTTCCAACTTTTTTCAACTCTCTTTAAAAATCACAAAAAGTCAACTTGGAAAAATCTATGGCGGACAGAAAGAGTATTTTTTTTTAATAATTAATTGATAGATGTTGGATGGCTTAACATGATCTGCAAGATGATTGGTTGTCACCTATCGGACGAGACCAATCTTAAAGTTAGTGCACTTGTATGTTTGTCTTACTAGTTGAATTGTTTTGCTCCTATCCACTGCAATAAGACTTGATATTTTAGGACCAGATCCTAAGTTCCTAGTTTTGCCACACATACATCTCGACATTCTCGTTTCTATCACAACGTTATATGAGCATCATAATACCTTAATATTCCACGCCATATAACATAGTAGGTCTAATAGCAACAATTCAGAAAAACTATTATAAAAAAACTTGATGGCATTGTACCTGCAGATCTCTGATTTGGGTATGGATTTCCCATTTAACGCAAAGTGATTCCCAAAATAAATTTTCTGAAATAGGTCAGGGTAGTGTTTGTTGATCCACTCAATTGTGTGGTCTTGAATTGCATATTGCCGCGACCTGTCACCAAATGATCATTAACTTCACTTTGTATGTATTGTCACTATAACAAGGTGTTGCAGGCCAACGAAATAAAAGGTAGGTATACTGATACATACGTAACTATGGACATATTACAAACTTTGGATAGGTTTCGTATAGCTTGCTGAGCACCAGGAATGGGATGGATGGCAGTCTTGAAATAAGACGACTCAAAGAACTCATGAACACGGATATTTGCTGTTCCACAAAAAGAAAAAACACACTTTCTTATAATGCAAACAAACCATAACTCATCTGATGATATCTGATGCAAGAAAATAACCACCTAGTATAGCACTCATCCACTTTGGAAAAAGAAAAATTGTATAGAGTGTTAAAAAAAGGTGAGGGAGAAGATAAAACAAAAATGAACATTCGGTACATATTTACCGTTTTTATCATAAGAGTCTACAATGGACCAGTTTAAATTTTATATGTCAATTTTACCTTCATCCTTGGAGCACCTCCATATCTGTGACAAAGAAAAAGGTCAATTGAATAGTCAATATAGGGAAGATAATTGTAGTAGCACTGGCAAGTGGCAATTGAATTTTTGAGGGATGATAATAGATGGAATAAGTTCCACATCCATAACCGAAAGGCAGGATATTGAGAGGAGAACTGATCAATAGATTTCCTTTCCAAATGCCAATGTGAATTTCATATTCATGGTATTTAAATCAATACTTTCATTACTAAATAATAGCAAAAAAATGTCAGTCATCTAGTGGAATATTTGAGGACACCCGAAACCAAAATCCCACGTAGAATGAAATATGGGTACCTTGGCAAACTCATAAACATGATATTCGGACACCGCCTGATGCAATGAATAACGTTCAGCAATAAACTGACTGATCGCTGACACAAAATTTCCAAGAACTGCCCAGAAAATACAAAAAAAAGGCACATGTGCATAAAGATATTAGAAAAAGTGATGGTAAATAGTTCAACTTAAATGACACATACAGGAGCCCAGAATCAGCACAAACAAGAGTGAAACAACAATTTCTAACAAGGGAAGAAATTCAACAAAAGGATTGATCATTGTTTAGAAGATATTTCAGAGAGATAAGGCTAAGTTTGGCACAATTAGAAAAAGGGTTCTAGATTATGTGCTATTATCTGGAACTAGAAGTGAATTAAGTATGTACTAGTTTGGCAAAAAAAGGATATGAAAGAATGTATGTGAAAAGACATAGTTTCAATGTCTAATATACTCTTTGTCCTTGACTTACCTAAATTAAGGTTTAAGGAGTTCTACCATTAATGAAAAAAAGAAATGGAATGAAAAGCTATACACATTATTGGTACAACATTTCTTTTGGACTGAAATTCACTAACTAAAATGCATTTAATTGAACTAAACTAAATAGAAAGTTGATTGTAATTTTAATTGAAAAGTGGAACTAAACTGAGCTGAACATAACTGCATTGAACTCAATTCAACTGATAATAAGTCTAAAAAAACAGATTTGTAATGGCAAATTCGATCGATTGGCAGCAAATAGACAAACATACCCTCATCAATGTCGACAGCAACCACAATCTTCTGAGATAACTCAGGGCATGGGAGTCCATTTGAGCTTCCAATGTGATAATCCTTTGCACCAGAAAACTGAGAAGCTCCATTCCCCAGTCTAATATCCTCTGAATCACAAAGCAAGGGAGCAAATGCCCGTGGCCTAGGCAATTCACCATCGCCGCCGCTATTTCTGCTACCAACACCTCCTCCACCGCAAAGCCTATCTCCGGCAGAGCTCGACAAGGGGTTGCCGGAGCAACAAGCCCTAGGCACGAGAGAATAAGGTCGATTGACGTATTTAGCCCTGCCATTGCGAGAAACATCAACGCAATACCTGCCGGCCTGGAAACACCGCAACTCCGCTTTGAGTGGAGTGACGAGAGGAGCCCCCGCCGCTGTGACCATGTCGCCGGCGGAAAACAATTACTGATTACGATCCATCGGAGATAAAAATCTATAACTTCGTCAATCCCAATCCAGAACAACAATAACTACTACTACTACTATAAAATGTGCAGATTAAATCCAATAATGTGAAGGAATCCGAGAAACGGCAGGTTGAAGCAAAACCGTGCTAATCTGGATAAAAGGAGAGAATATATTTTGTCTATTCATGGATTGATATCCTTTCCGTTTTAGAACATAGCCGCAAAGATGAGTGTGGCCTTATTTTAGGATATTTTTCAATAAATAATCTTTTTCTATAAGGAATCTTTATTTGAAGGTTAAAATCGTAATTTGACATCAGTTTTATGTACAATGGCGTATTCTTATGTTGGTTAGACGTATAACACAACAATATAATGCATGGATATAGACTCGGATTCCAACCACAAACGACTTATGCACGCTATAGTTGTAATAGACAGCGATTGCAATTCACAAACGACACATTATAAGCAACCTAGAACATTAGATAAAACAAGAAATATAGGGGTAATGTTGCAGTTTTGAAGCAGTGGCCGTCAACACACTATCCAACGAGGGAAAGCAGCTGGAGCTCCTGCCCCACTAGGGGTATCAGATGTTTTGACATTGTGCATTGATTGATTGTTTGTTGTCTTTTTTGGGCACGAATGATGTCAATGTTGGTGTTAATGCCTTCGGGGGGCAAAAAGCACAACGTTGATTTTCGGGCTCGACTTAGGTGTATTAGAGGTGTGTGAGAGTGGTACTCAGAGACTAAGAAAAAGTATAACACCAAAAAACGTATCTTATATATGATTTGGGTATGAGTTACCAAAAGGGAGGCTTGATGGCTCTGATCCGGCTACAAGGATTTCCTTTAACCTAATGTTGTTGCTTTCTCTCTCTCTAGAATGTGATCTCTACTTCCCTTTCCTCCATTGTCTATTTATAGAGATGAGATCTTATAGATAATTAACGAGAAATATAAGTTAGATGAACAGTGATCGATGTTGTAGCACGCTCGGTTTGGCAGGCATGTGTGTCAGATTTCGCCTACACATTTAATGTGTTGTACACTTATACGGAAGTCATGATAGATAGTTGAGACCAAAGTAATTGGCCCGAACGAGCTGAGGGTGATTCTTGATATGTCTTTCGCCTTGCTTCTGGTGGAGCTTAAGTGTGCCTCGAGTGCAACTTCGTCCCGACCACACACATGGCAACTCAGTAGGCCATCGAGTTCTTGTGTTACTTGGGCTGACCCAAAGCATGTATGTTGGCCTTTATCTTAACACGCAACTATATATCTAATCAATAATATTAATTTTGGCCCGATAAAGTATGAATCATAGTAGTACTCCGTAACTAGAAATGAAAATCATGGAAACATTATGAACCCCAAGAGTGGGAGCGCCGCCGCTTGTACGGCCACAACAACAAGATTTGCAAAAGAAACCATTCCCTTCCCGGCGGAAGAGGTGCCGGGAAAAGGAGACCTCCTCCTTTCTCGCTTGCCGCCGGTGTCAATCATGACCTCGAACCTGCACGCGCCGCCGCCCTGCGTCGGCTGCGGCGGCGACGGGTCGATCTTCGTCACCGTCCCGAAGTTGTGCAGCTGGTCGCCGCACGCGCCGTTCCTCTGGTTCATCGTCTGGTAGTACATATTGAACGCGTAGGAAGCGTTTCCCCTGGCGTTCAAGCCGCCGCAGGAGGAGCCGTAGCCGAGGCTCGTGCAATCGGCCAAGCCGCAGGCGTAGCTGATGACGTCGCCCAAGGCGGGGTCCTCTAAATTGGCATCCGGCACTAAAACGCACCACTGCCGGGGCAAGTACCGGACGCCCCTCGCCGCCGTCAGATTCCGATTGTTGCCCAAATCTAGCGGGTACTTGATCGTGCCGTCGAAATAGAACAATCCCCAGTGCCTCTCGAAGTTCCCCGGATCTATGCTCTTAGCGTCCTCGTCGATCAGCCCGAACAGATATGTGTCCGGCGGAGACGACGGCCGCTTCGGGGTGCCGCGGCCTTGGATTATCCGATTCACCAGCCCCTGATTGAATTTCCGGGCGTACTCCAGATTTGCATTCTTATCGCCGTCGGTGGGCCACCCGACTTCCCCGATGATGATGGGCAGAGACCCGAACCCGGATTTCTCCAGGGCCCAAACCAGAGTGTCGTAATTGGCGTCCAAGACGTTGGTGTAGACGGTGGATCCGTCGACCACCGGACTCGACGCGCCGTCGAAGAAGGCGTAATCGACGGGGAAGTGGGGGTCGGCGTAGAGACTGAGGAAAGGGTAGATGTTGATGGTGATGTGGCCGCCGTTGTCGCTGAGGAACTTGACGATGGAGAGCATGAGGGGTTGTATTTCGGGCCTGAAATGGCCGCCGGAAGGAACGCCGGTGGACGTGTCGTACACGTCGGCGTTGAGTGGGACGGTGACCTTCACCTGACGGCCCAAACCCGCTTTGATCAGCGCCGCCTGGATGTTCTTCAGCGCCGGGAAGGTGGTTTGCACGAACTTGTCTTTGTACGTCTTCAGGAATGGTTCATTCCCCACCGCCACGTGCCTTTGAAACCAAAAAACAAACAATTGACGACCATGAACCAAAAAACAAGGGCCATGCTAGGCTAGGGACTAGGGTATCATACTTCATCCGTCCCACAAAAAAGTTCCCATTTTGAATACTCCTTTTGTCCTATAATGTTCTTTTCGGTTCATTTTATGAGTTTTGACCGATTTTATTTTAAATTTAATTTATTTGATTGTAGGTGTAAAATTAAAAAATAAAATTTATATATTTAAAAACTACATCAAAAGTTCTACAAAATAAGTGGTGACAAGACTATATTATTTTATCAAATACCTAATGAAAATAAGTAAAGAAAGTGATTAAAGTTTGACCGGGTAAAAAGTGAGTGGAAAGAACATTTTAGGACGGAGGGAGTAGTATTTAATCAAATATTTACACACTTTGATTACAAATTGTGAAAAATGTATATTGAATTATAAAATAAATTTAATATAATTGGATTCATCTTAGGATCTAGTTTTGAGATCTCAAATTTTTTTAACATTTCTTTATTTAGATTATATTTAATTTAGGGTCAAAACGTGTAACTGTTTGACCAAAAATACATCAAAATGAGAACTTTTTTATGGGACTGAGGGAGTATTTGTATACCATTTTGGTATGCTCTTAGGTTTATTCAAAAAATAATTGACAATCAATAAATATATACTTTTGTCCCAAAGATATATATCTCAAAATCTATTTCAAAAGTTTACATTTATATTTTGTCAGTGACTAATTTGAGTAAGTGCGAGATTGATGTTACAGTAATACAAAATATCAATGTGAAATTTTGTAATTATATTGACATTTATGTCAATGAAAGTCGTCAAAATGTAAGTATAAACTATTTGGTATATTTAGAAGTATAATTTTTGAGATATAACTAGCATGGTTGATTGAGGGCATGGCTCATCACTTATTTTAGAAAAAGTTAGGGGACACAATGTTGTATCCCAACCTACACATCAAATATATCATAGACACACATAAACAATATTTCATCCGTTCTAAAACTAACTTCTCTATTTGTCTTTCGTGGTGAAATGTTTTGAACCCTAACTACATATTATGAAAAAATATATAATCAATTTTTATATATTTTTAATATCAATAGATTCGTTTTATAAAATAGTTTTAAATTATTATTTTTATAATATATATATCTATATATAAGTAAATGAATTAATGGTCAAAGTGTTGCGTTGGAGGTCGTTAAAAATCAAATGATAAGTTAATTTTAGAAGGAATGAAGTAATTGTTTGTGCAACGCACACATCCTTGTTTTGACTTGGCCGAAGACACAAATTTAAATAAGTACATACAAAACTCTATTCAAATCCGAAAGACTTTCTTAAACCCCACCACCACCGTACCCGTAATCAAACTTCCTTAATTGTGTTAACATTTTGATCAAAATTTTGATTGAAATGTTACCCCAATTGGTGAGTGAGATTAGGGGACTCAAGGGTGGACGGAATTTAAGGCGGTTAGCGTGAGCATAAATCACACTATAAGATCAAATGGATTATTTTAAAATGATCAAATAGATTAATGTCATAACATGATATTGATAACTAATGTAAAAAGTGAAATTTGCACTAAATAGGACTAAAACATAATGACTTTCCTAATCTAGGACTTAAACTTTTTTTATTCCCTAAATAGGACTTAATAATGACCTAGTGGGAGGAATAATGTCCAGTAATGCTAGACATTTACTTGAATAATGACTAGTTGATAATGACCAAAAGTCCTACCTTGGGAAATAAAAACATATGATCCTATATTAGGAAAGTCATTATGTTTTAGTCCTATTTAGGTAAATTTCTCAAGTAAAAATAGTAATCATATTATATATGTATACTTTACATTAATATTTAATTGACAATTACTATATCCGTTATAAAAAGATTTACCTTATTCACTATTCAAAAGTTAAGTAAATTTTTGTTTATTTATACATTTTGATTGATTATTTGTTAAAATAAAGGAAATTTGTCATCTTTGATTTGTAAAAATTTTAACTTAGTTTTTAAATACATGAGTTTTGTAAAACTTTCAATGTAGTTTTGTAAATATGCAAGTTTTTTTTATTTATACACCAATTATTAAATAAATATATTTTTTAAAATCACGGAATTTCGTACGTGGTTCAAACATCAAAGGGTGCAATTCATTTTGGGAATCTGGGACGATGAGAGTAATTTTTTTTTGAATTTGAGAGAAATATTTGTGTTGTACCACACATTGTGACACGTGCTACGTGAAGTGATTATGAATTTATGATAGTTGAAGCAAGTCAATCAACTCGCGTAATAGTTGACTTGGTGAGAAGCAAGTCAATTATCCTAAATAGGACTAAAACATATAAAAAAGTATTAAAATAGGACTTTCATGTTTTTTTCCCAGAATAGGACTTTGCATTGTGGTAATGTGTCAGTGTACATATGCAAATTACTATACTTTCTTGGTAATGTATATGACCATGTTTGGTAATATAAGTCATATTTCGAGAATAAAAATATGAAAGTCCTATTTTGGTATATCTTCAATGTTTTAGTCTTACTTTGGTCTTTCTCCCTTGGTGCGAGAGTATGTTCAGGTCGGACTGGGGGTGAGGAATTTATCGGGAGTTAAAAGGTATGAACTATCAATTTTTCGAACGAAATATCGTATTGAATCAATGTCATGGGATTTTGAGGGAGAAATATTAGTGACCTTATGTCGACGCCATTGTTGGAGATGAAGGAGGAGATGTTGTGCGCCACCCAGTCCTCGGCGGCGGAGACGCTGGCGGCGATGGCGGCGAGCATGTCGTTGGGGATCCCGACCATGACCTCGATCCCCGACCTCCCCAGCGCCCGCATCATCGGAGCCTCCGCCTCGAACAGTTTCACCTTGTCGAAGCCGTTGTCTCTCATCAGCTTCACCACTATGTCCGGCGGCAGCGGGTGGGAGGCCCTCGACCCCAAATTGCACCCCAGTCCCTCTACTCCCCACATTTTGCACCCCACCGCCATCGTCACTAACGCCACCCACCCCATTATCCTAATTATATTATTATTCTTCCTCCCAAATAATAAAGAAAACTCCATTGTATTTAAATTTTGTATATTATATCTTAGGTTATTTGTATTTAATTTTCTGTGTACTAAGATAATTAATGTTTATATATATAGATGATGATGATGATGATGATGATGATGAAACAGGATGCAGCATTATGAATGAAGTTTGTTTTTAAAAGATGGATTACTTTTCATTGGAGATAAAGTAAGGAATGAATTGTTTAGAACAACCACAACAAGGAACTGGATTCTTTTTTTACTCATTTGGTCTCCTAAAATAAAAGACACATACATACATGGTTACTATTTGTAGTATCATCAAATTATATTTTCTTTTGGATTTTATTGCACCAATACCTCTTATGATTTGTAAAATGTACGTGCACCGTTATTCTCTATGGTTTCAAAGTTTACATTGTTACTCCATAGCCTATAGTTTTAATATTCATACAATGATGCCCCTCTAGACTAAAATACTCTTCAAATATTAAATGAATAGCGACTGCCTCCTATGATATTAGAAATAAGCACCAACACCACTAGCCCTCTCATTTTTTTCTTTATTATTTTTCTTTTTTCTTCTATTTTTTTCCATCAATATTTTTGAAGATCTTTTTTTAAAACTTTTTCGTAAATGTTTTAATTTTATTTTTAAAAACTATTTTTATACAACGTAATGATTTAACAAAAAGATATATTTGAAATAAAAAAATTCATAAAAATAAAAACAAATAACTTACACTTTATTTGTCTCAAATTAAAAAATCTTATTTTTTCAAAAAGAGATTATTATTTGGTTCATTTTCATGATACAAAAATCAATGAAAAATTTTAAAATTTTCCACACCACATTTTCTAGTTTTTAATCATTTTTCTCTTCATGATTGAAAAACAAATTATAAATTTTCTTTTTTTTAATTAAATTAAAAATAAAAGAAAAAAATAATAGAAACAAAATTGAAGAAGAAGAAAAGTATACGAAAAATATTTTTGTAGAAAAAGAAAATTATGTTATGAAGAAAATGTTTTACGCATGGATTCAAAAAGAATATTATGAATATGTAATTAAACAAATACAAAAAAGACTTTACTTTGTATTCTTTTGGTCTTAAGATATTAAGAAAAACTAAGAATAGTTTTTAGAAAAAATAAAAATATTTAATTTGAGACAAATGAAGTATGTTTTAATTTTTTCATATTTCAAACACCAACAATTTTTATTTTTTAAAACATTTTTAAAAATTTTAAAAACACAATGAAAAAGCTCTTTTGTTCTTGTAGTAATTATTAACTTTAGAACAATGTATAGATATATAAAACAGTTCAAATTTATGTAAAATTAAAACAATACATAAATTATGTAATTCAATAAACAATAAGACATTTAGAGATCTTAGAAATAAAATATGTTAAAATGTCCATATAGAATAAAAAACAATGTGTATATCCCTTTCAAAACTGAAAATGTTCTTCGCATTTAATTTTTCTTAATCAAAATTTATAAAGTGTGATTCAACTATATAAAAAAAATACATTACTACGGGAAGATATTATAATATCAATATATTCTTATTAAAACTTAATTTTCAAATGTGAAATTTTTATACTCCGTATATAATATTGTTGTGGATTAGAAATCATCTATGAGAAGATTACTTTTTTAAAGGCTCCGGTTCATTAGCTTTATTTACACCAAACCGTCCGCCGGTTGCCGCCGTCCGCCGATAGTCACCTCTTCGGCAAGAATCGATCGCTTCACACAGGTGATCTGAGTCCTTTTTCTATATGCACGTAAGTACGTAACCGTATTTCATTTCAAGACGTAATTGGCTTTGGTTTCTAGTTACTAGGGGTGGGCACGGATCGGGATGGTCCGGGTTTTTTGTTGTCCCACGTCTTGTCCCGTTATATATAAACGGTCTGGAATGGTTCGGATTACAATTTTATCCCGACTTGTCCCAGAAAATTCGGGATCGGAATAAACCGGGACGGATTCGGGTCATCCTACTTTGTCCTAATCGCAAATTTAAGAAGGGGAAGAGGGTGACATTTCATTCAAAAAAAGAAACATCTAGCCATCTAACAAAAAAACAATGAGTGGAACGAGTCCAAATAAATTTCAAGCCTATGAAGTTAATTTAATTAAATAACTAATTGATTAAAGAATGAGTGTTTTTCGATTTTGGACTAGAATTAGTATTATATATTAGTGGAGTAGATGAAACGGGACAAACGGGACAGATCGGTATAAATTTAAGCTGTCCCGCTCATGTCTCATTTGATATTGGGACGGAACGGGTTCGAGATAAAAAAAATGTGTCCTAATATATCGGTAGAATTTCAAAACGGATCCAGGATTTTTCGGAACGGTCCAACGGGAACGGATTTCATGCCCATGCTACTGGTTACATGATTTCATTTTTCTCGGATTTCAAGTGCTTCGCTGTGCGATCTTACAATGGCTTTGGTTTTTTCTTTATTGAGATCTGGATTTAATGATAAGCTCGTGTTTCTAGCCTCCTTGTTTCTGAGCTGCGCGCATTCAAATGATCAATGCGATTAATCTAATCTTGATGATTACCTTTTTTTTTTTTTTGCGGTTTTAGGGTTTGACAAACGGTCCAGTAATTTCTGGTTTATTTGCAACCTGCTGAACAAGGTGAGTTTTGCTTATCCAGAATGCAAAGATTAACCCATTAATTCCTGGTCTCTGCGCCATAGTAATCTCTGCACTTTCTATATCTCTCTGTATATTTTCGAAATGATATATGGATCTTTTTTTTCTTTTTTTTTTCTGCCCGAATCTTCATCTTCCGGAATGATGATCATTTATATATATAAATATATTTGCCCCAAATCGTTTGAGTGACAGATATGGACCTAGGAATGGGAATGGAGATGGATCGTTGTTTTAAAGAACTTGAGCCGGAAATGTCAGCCATGAATCTATCAGATGGTGACCCCATAGCAGTCCTAACTGAACTCAACCACAGGCTCCGCAACATGAATCCACCGGAATCACATCCAAAGATGAAGTTCGTTGTCGAAAGGAGCCTGGAAGCTGTGGGCGTGTTGCTTTCCAAGATTGAAAGGGCACACAAAAACCTTGGGTTTGACACCCCGCTCATAAACCAGATAATTGTCTATCATTTCTACAGGGAAGGCTTGTTCTATGTGGCGAGGTACTATGCGAAAAGAGCAGGTGTGGTTCCAACTGAGCTCCTCAAGCAATTTGAACTGGGCAAATGTATGCTGAAGCTTTTGAAGGCAATGGATGTTGACACTGCACTGAATTGGGTCTCGGCAAACAGGGTACGGTACGACAATGGCGCTAAGTTGGAGTTGGGACTTCACAAGTTGAAATATGCAGGCCTGTTTGCGGGATCAGAAAATCTCGGGGACCCAACAATAGTAGGGTATGCCAAAACTCATTTTGGTGCTTGGGCTAAACTTAACCCGGACAAGTGTGAAAAGGTGTGTTGGGAAGCGTCAAGAGCTAGAATGGCATGCCGCAACGGGGGTTGGATCATATCCCTATGGACAGGTTGGTTGGTGATGTTTGGAAAATGTTCTGTCAAGTCACGCCGGTAACAAGCTCCTTGGACCCTCTGGAAGTGGCCATTGCTGGTGGGGAGGATGCAGTGTTGACTCTAAGAAGGTTTTTTGACCAGGCGGCGGCAGGAGAGGGACTGGACAGGAATTTGATGGAGAACATTAATCTACCGGACCGATTAGGATGATTTCTATTATTTTTTACGGTGATATTTATTTATGTACAGAGTGTTTTTTTTGGGAAGTTGGTGGTTTGTTTGGCAACAAGTTTAGCGTCTAGTTTTGGTATTTTGATAGAGCTATCGAATAATAATGCGGAGTAATGTTTAAGTTTAGTATTTTTGTAGATAATATGTAATATTAACAAAAAAAATAATGTTAATGTTATTGCCAAACAAGACGTAAAAGAAAAAAAAGATTTGGGTCGATTGCTGTAGGGAGTATGAAATAAGATTTCTTCGGGGTTGAAGAAGAGGCAAGACGACGATGGCTCTGTATTCGTCTTCTTCCTCAAGCAGCGAACTGGACTCGCCGGTGGAAGTACTGCCGTTGCAGAATGTAAGTTGTGTTCCTTCATAACACCATTTTCTATTTGCATTATTGGGAATTGGGTATTAAATTCATTATTGAATTCATTGGATAGGAAAATCAAGTTTTTATTGATGAGATTGAGCATTTGGGCGTGTAATAAGGACCATTATATATTCTAGGTCGAGTTTGTTTGAAATGTTCGGGGAGGAGGGGGTGTACTCTGCGAATTCTGAGAGCGTGGCCTTAGATGTCGTTAACACACTGATGGAGTGCGATGTTCATATTAGTGCTCAAGGTGAAATTACTCCAATTGAATTCACCGAGAGCTTGAAAGTGCTCCAAGTCTACACCC